AGACCACAAAAGAAACATTGAGCCTATTAAATACCAAGTATCCATTTCAATAAATGTGCTCACAGCACTGCATCATTGACAACTGTGATTTTTTTTCTGTATGAGGGATTGAACTCATGACCTTGTGCTCTCCAGGCAGCTCCTTGTATACCTCTGCTCAATCCCCAGACCCAACAACTTTAGATAGTAAATATGACTATTAACAATGTTTAATTTGCCATTGACATATTTAGTTATAAATTTTGTAAACCTACATTTTCACAAATGAAATTATTTTCTTTCCTTGCGGTTTAAATTACTTTTTGTTTTAGGTACCAGGGATCAAAGCTACAACCTAACACTTTCCAGGCAGGCGTTTCTGCCTCCTGAGCTAAATCCCTGGCCTGTATTAATGAATCTTTCAGTTTATTCATTCAAACAGAACTGTGATTTTAGCAAAGGATGTCAAGGTAGACAGAAATTGATATACAATCAGAGAGGAACTGGAACCTCAAATAGTCAATGCAAAATACTAAATACAACAATCACTGCTACAGGCACAGCTGAAGAAAGCCCGACCTGAATGTGAAGATGCAGTGACTAGGTCTACATGCTCCTGAAGAGAAAAACAGCAGCTTGAAATGTAGTACAGTTACCACCACCCCCTCCACGAAGTCCTGATAGGCATCAATTACCATACTCAATGACCAGAACAACTGGACTATTGTTCCCACAAAATGCCTTGGCTCTTTCCACATACCTTTTCTGGCTGACTTGTTCCTTGTTGAATAACATTAGTTAAGCAGCTATAAGCTTATAGGTTGATTGTAGTCTGAGACCCACACTGTACCCACATTGTGACTTTCGTGTATAAATGACCCCTGACAATAAGTCTATGGCCAAAACACCGAAGACCACTCCTGATAATTCAGGGCTATTTTTCTCTCTGTTTTTCTGAGAAAATTTTTGAATTTTTTTTTTATTTTTGACTTCATTTCTCAGTTTTGTGAGTCATAAAACTTCATGCATTTGATATCAAACAGGGCAGGATTATATTTGTCTTATCTCAATTTAAATATGAAATGTCTGCTAAAGGCATTGTTCCAAAGCCAGAATTTCAAGCTGCTTGTTTGCCCTGAGTTTAAAATTTCAATGAGCTTTTAGAAGTCCTCAGTCTAATGAACTGCAAATGTATTGCAGGAAGGAGGTCACTGTTGTCCTGTAGCACAATAGGTGCCATTCCTAAGTATGTGTTTGTCACTGCCTCCTGGATGCCACTACATGGCCTTCTTTCCTCTGCAGCATCATTCAATAATTCCCATTTTACATAAGTCAAATTTCAATCAGCTCTATTATTGTGTTTTCAATAGTCTTTCTGTCTAATTGGTTGTTTTTTTTTTCATTTTAGTTTTTTGATTTAAAGACATAGTCTCACTTTAGAGTTCTGGCCAGCCTTGCACTCACTATGTAGGTTAGGCTGTCTTTGAATACATGGCCATTCTTCTGTTTCAGCTTCTTCATTGCTGGGGAAAAGAGATGGGCATTATAGCACATGGCATCTGTCTTTTTCTCTTCTCCTTTTCACAACTATTCTTTCACTTCAGGGGCATGGTCATTTAATCCTGAGGTTTGCTTGTGTCAGTAAGGTTTCTGCAGCTCAAGGTGATTTTGTGAACAATAATATAGGAAGCCAAGCAACCCGATTGAGAAATGTGGAATTTCATTAGCTGGGCTCAGCACCACTTGTATACAGAAACCCTAACCCCATTTCAAGATCTAAACAAGAGGCTCTGAACTGGAAAGTTAGAGATGTTTTAAAGATAGAATCACAAAAAGATCCTGTTGGAAATCATTTAGCTAGAATCTTATAATAATTTTTGAATGACAACTGTATTCTGCTTCTTTTGTTGAGCAGGATAATTTTTTTCTTTGGGTACAGCTCATTTTGCTTTTCTCCTGGGACTTATACCCTGAGTGATTTTCCATTTTTCTGAGTAAAATACAGGGCACTAGTTAAATGCAAAGCTCAAGATGGCATCTATTAAGCCAACCTACAACACAGCTAAGTTACAAGTCTCAATATTTTTTAGAGTAAAAACACACATATCTATAATCCCATACTCAAGACGCTGAGATAGGAGTGCTGCTTTGAGGTTAGGGCAATTCTGTGCTCCATAAAGGGTTCAAATCTAGCTCATATACATAGAGAAAACTTGTCTCAATAAAACAAAACTAAACTAAACAAATAAAACCAAAACAGCTGAATGGAGACTGATTTCTTCAAATCTTAATTCTACATCTTGGGGATTAATTTTTGTATATACACATTTTTTGAGACAGCAAATTTAATGCTATATTGCAACTCACAGCTAATATAACAGCCAAATAGGAGCACTGATTCTTATGGTGAGTCACTGCAAGAGTCCCTGTGCACTGTCTCTAAAGCAGAGCTCATAGTGAAAGCCTGCAGGACCAGCATCCATTAAAAACAGAGGCAGACAAATATCTCATGAATCACTTTGATGTACTAACAATGATATCTCTTCAAATCTTATTTAGGCCACTGAGTCCTTTGTTCTTAATATACTTAAGCAGCATTTTGATATTTAAATTTGGATTCATAGAACCAAACATAAATAACATCAAATACGATACATAAATAATAACTCACATGTTCATTGAAAACTGCTGTATGTAAAAAATGTATAAACAATGAAACCAGGTACAAGTTTCAAATTATAGCTCAGTGTCACCAAGTGATCACCAAGTGATCACTCTCCATTCAGATATAAGAAATATATCTTGGGAGGCTGATGCAGGAAACCTTCCTAGAGTTTGGGGCTAGCCTAAATTACAGAGCTGTCTGAAATATAGAAACCCTGACTGAGACACCTCAAAGACAATGTGAAACTTGAAAAGTGACTGCATACGACACCTTTGGTTTGCTTTAAAAATTATATCCATACAATATAGGAAAATTCCCTAATATTCAACATTTTATGAGGAACAATGTTGATATCATACATAGTATACAGAAAACACTTTCAGAGCTGGGTATTTAACTTAGCAGCATGAACACCTACCTCGCAAGCTTGAGATCATGAGTTTGATCCCTGTTACAAAAAAAATTCAAATTTCTCGTTTATGACACTGGGTCATAATTAGAGATAATCAAAACTAGATCTCAAGTAAAGAACAAAGGATTCATGGGTTGACAAGGATGTGGAATAGTGATTCTTACCAGAGGTGGTGGTATTCACCTCAAGGAAGAAATCATAAGCCAACTTTAACTTCATGCTTACCCTAAGAACTTCAAGCTTTAACTTCATGCTTCCCTGACTTTCAGGGAAGACCCTCTCTGTTGTATGTCCTGCTATTGGCACACTGTGTCCTGCTAGTCACTTCCACATCCTTTCCAAGCTTGTCTGATCCACCCTAAGCAGAAAACCATTCATGCCTTAACTACTGATATCCCTGCACAATTTCAATTTAGGGAATCTCTTTACATGAATTAGTAAAGTCCATTACAGAGAATTTCCATATTTAAACAATGTATATGATCAACCAAGCTATTAAATCACCTCTTAATTCAGATATGACACCCATATTCCTTTCCATTCAGAAGGATATCACGTGTGTATATATATATATATATATATATATATATATGTTTATGCAAATAACTAAATTTAGGCATTTTTCAAGGAGAATTTAACAGGCAGCCCTTTCTGGAATTTGTCCTTAGTAAACACACTTTTCCCTGCCCTTGATGACACATTTATATCTGCTTCATTTTCTCAAAATTTAAACCTCTATGGATGTTCTCCCAAACATTGTCTATGAGCACATGTGTCACATCAAGTATGTTCAGAAATTCTTTGCATTGTTCTGTATAATACACAGGAGTTCATGCGGTGTTTCGGGAGCCTTCCTCCACTGAGGCACATCACTACACATCTTTGAATTCTCAGAACCTTTGCCTCCACCTTTAATGAGCATGGAAATATGAGAACATAGTATAAATTTAGACGATCACAAAATACATAAATGCATAAGCTTAAGGAGAGCAGTTGTGGCTATGAGGTCCTGCAGCACAGACATTTATAAACTTCTGGCTTTCAGATCTGTTGCTGACAGGAATGAGAGCAGAGATCTAGCTTTTTACAGCTGCACCCAACTTGAAACCACTTCGGAATCAGGGTCTCCTCATGCCCTGTCCTGGGTCCAGACTGTTGGAGGAGCAAGGGCAGCAGGCGATTTCAAAAATGGCATTGTGGCCTGGTGGTATCACAGTGGTGACAGCGTTCTAGGGACCCAGAAATATCCTGACCCCAGCGAGAGGTAAAAGGGACACAGGATGACTCCCTTCTAGCACAAGAGCACCTCAGGGTCTGAGGCTAAGAACACAGGCTCTAGACAGCACAGCTGCTTCTCACCACTGTTTTTTTTTTTGTTTGTTTTTGTTTTTGGTTTTGGTTTTTTTTGTCTTTTTCCTTTTTATCGGTACCGGGGATCAAACTCATGACTGCCTGCTTTCAAGGAAGGTGCTTATGCCACTGAGCTAAACCCCCAATCCCTTCTCACCACTTCTAACTGGTCTCAACCGGATTCCACCCCATTTCACTGCTCCCATCCCATAACATCACCATTGCGTAATTTGGAGGTCTCCCAGGTTATTTCTAAGCAGTCCACGGAGAACAGAAGCAAAAAACAGTTGTCTAGCAAACATCTAGCGCTCCCTTTTTTGCCCTGGCCTTGCAATTGATGCCATGACACCGGAAGAGACCGCCTACATTGGCCCTCCTGATTGGACAGTTCTTACAGCCCGCCTCTTCATCACTGATTGGCTCGGGCTCAAAATCAACAAACCGATAAATTTGAAGCTTAGCTACAGGAATGCCCCTACTCTTTAACAAAGAGGAAATAACTTGTTCAAAAAGTTCCCGTTTTGATGATGGGGAGTTACCCATTCTCAATCCCTGCCTATATGCCACTCCCTGCTACTTTCACTTTTCACTTACCCGGGTCGTCTGTAGCGGCGGTCTTCTTGCAACTCCCGATTCTCCTTCCACTGGAAAAAACGCTCCAAATGCTTATATTCCAAGCCCCAAGTTTGGGCGCCAGGTGCCAGGTGCCGCGGCCAGCTGCGGGGAAGGAGTCAGGCGAGAGACCGAAGACACAGGGAGACCAGTTGCTCAGGAGGCAAAATGCGATTTAATGAAGGACTACAGAGTTTTTATAATGTTTCAAAACAAAGAGCAGTACAAGTCACTTCAGGACACGTTCTTGTGCACACAGCAAATGTAAACATGCTCCTGGGCCCATGAGAAACTTATATGTTGTGCAGCCCAGGAGGTAAACATGTTCTTGGGCCCATGAGAAACTTCTATGGTTTATGTTATGAAGCTATTCCCAGGTTAATATCAGCGCGATGCTTTGTCTAGAAGGCTGAGGGAATGGATGAGGTCCAGCTTCAGTGTGTGGTTTCCCACACCCATTCACTGCAGGACCCCTGGCTCCCGCTTCCAACATATCCCCCTTATTTCTTAGACAATGTGTCGCATGGGAATTTCATTAGCAGTTGATTCTAACTTAAAACGTTTCAAGTCCAAATGCACATTTCTCATTTGCCCAACAACAGTTCTCACAAAATATGGAAAAAATGTTATCATGACAATAAATGCTAGAGCTCCAATACCAGCTAGAATGATAAAATGCAAAATTCACGTGAGGCCTGGAAAATGGCTGGTTAATGCGTTGAATATTTGCTCAGTTTCTTTTGCTATGTCAACTTTTATTGCTGGTGCATTGGTTATATCTTGGATAGTCTTATGCAACTTAAGCAAATCTAGAGAAGTATTGGAATTATGCCATATTCCTAGCAAATGATTTTTCACCCTATCCCAAGGTAAACCACTTTCATTATATCTATGTGAAGTAACACAAATATGTTCGTATAAGGCATGACATTTCAAAGAAGACTGTACTTGCAAAGCATATATTTGATCTCCTAAGGTTATTACTGTATCTTGTAGAGCATTTAACTTTTGTTCAGTCAGACTATCCCAATTTTCCTGTATTTGCAAAACCAAAGAAACATTATGGGATAACTCATTAACATAGGATGCAGTTTGCACACTTTCTGTAAGAGATATTATGGACATTGTAGTGGAGGCTATCGAAGTAATAAGTGCAGCAATTCCAGTCATTAACATCCCAACAAATCGTTTGGCCCGATTTAAAAGCTTAGTTAATTTTTGCAAAATAATCACAGAAGGATCTTGATACCACTCTGTGGTGATATTAATAGGTAAAAAATACAAATGGAGGTTGTTTGACCAGTAATATGGATGAGTGGTTTCGTGAAGCATTAACACAATTGGATAAGATGCAATCTTTACAAGTAATTTTATAAGATTCATTGTTCTTATTTACAGTAAGTTCTCCACTTATAAAACCATATGGTTCAGAAATACAAGCTATGATAGTTACATTTTTTACTGTGCCATTAACAGAAACAGCATCCTGTGTCCCTATATGTTGCCTTACAACTTTTTCCTTTGCAACAGCAATGTAATCAAGTGCTGCAACCAACTTCCACAGCATGGTAAAAAAGGTGATGTTATTCCTTGTCCATATTCCATATAATAAATTTCAGGGCCTGTAGGTTGTTTCTCTGTAATCACTCCAATCACATAGATCTTTGTAACATATAATTATGATGGCACAAACGCCATGAGGGTCCATATACACTTTTGCTTGGATATTTTTGTCTACATTCTGGAATATGCTCAGGGGGATTACCTTTTCCCACTCTAGTTTCACTACTGTTGCGAAATACATACATCATATATACTCCCCAGTGCATTCCATTAGTAGTTTCCATCCCAATCAGAATATCTTTCTATTAATGTACAATTCTTATTTGTTTTAGAAAAACATAGGGGTAATGAAGCAGATATTTCAGTGTAATTATATACAATAGAGATAGGTTGTGTATGAGTGGAAGAAGGAAAACTTAAGACACGAGTATTATTTACATAAACAGTAACATCATGGTCGTCGCCCCATGACATAGGGTGCAACAAAGGAGGATTAGGTACAAATGCCCAATAATTATCCACCCAAACAGGCATATAAAATATATGCAAAACCCAAATAATGCTTAACAGTTGAGCCAAAAACAGAAGAGTTTCATCTCTTGTCGCAGGAGACCTTCTGGTCATTGTTCTCGTCCTCGAGGTCATGGTTAGTGGAAGCATCGTCCTGCGCAATTTTTCTATCTTGCTCTTGGGCAAGTCATACACAGCATTCTGGGATCCACCTGGGTGTATCAGCGTCTGTGGGAAAAACACAAACATACCCTCTTCCCCATATCAATACTGGGTCAGGGCCATGTAATAGATTAGTTAATGGGTCTTTCCAATAAACCATTGGCTTGGAGGGCAAATCAGGAGACCAATGTCTCTCAGCTGCAGATCTATTGGAAGCATCAAAAGTTAAAAAATTAAGAATGTAAAGAGCATGGTTAAGAAGGGTTTTGGGAGAATACTTATACCATCTCCCCCTTTTAAATTTCTTTAATGTGTTTTTTTAGTGAGAGATTAGCAAGTTCAACAGTTCCTTGTCCTTGAGGATTATAAGGCAGTCCAGTAACATGTTTAATGTGGAAAGTCTGACAGAATTTGGCAAAGGGTTTACTAAGATATGCTGGGCCATTATCCGTATTAATGGATCGAGGAATGCCCAGGATAGAGAAACAATATAGTAGGTGTTGTATTACATGGGTGGCAGTTTCTGCAGTCATAGGTGAAACAAGCATGTAATGAGAAAAGGTGTCTATGGTAACGTGTAGGTATTTTAATGACCCAAAAAAAGGATAATGAGTGACATCCATCTGCCAGAAGTCATTTGGACGGAGTCCTCGAGGGTTGACTCCGAAATGCGGTACTGGAAGGAGAGGCTCACATGAGGGACAGTTTTTAACAATTTCTCATGCCTGCTGCCGTGTTATACCATATTGATAACGTAAAACCTGTGCAGCTTGGTGATGAAGAGCATGTGACTGTTGTGCTTGCGAAACAGCAGACAGTCCAATATGCATGGCTCGATCTGCAATTGCATTTCCATGAGTCAAAGCACCTGGAAGATTAGAGTTACTGCGAATGTCCTACAAAACAAGGTGCAGATCGAGAATGTAAAGATGATTGAATAAGACCAAATAACTGTGCAACAAGGATATTAGCAGTGTTGATAACAGGGATGCATTCTAAAACAGACAAGGCTTGTACTACATATTGGCTGTCTGAAAACAAATTAAAGGGAACATCAAAGAAAAGAATAAAAGCCTGATGAACAGCATAAAGTTCAGTCTCCTGAGCTGAAGTACTCCTCAATTGCCATACATAAGTTTGATTTGGGGATACTAAAGTAGCTTTTCCATTGGAGCTTCCATCTGAAAATAAAGTAATAGCATTAACAAGGGGTTTCATGCGTATGATTTGAGGAAATGAAAAGGTAACTTTGGAGGCAAATGGAAGAATTTTATCCTTGGGATAATGATGTTGGATTTGACCAGTAGAGGATGCTAGAGAAAGAGGAAAATAATCAGTCATATTAAGCAACCATTTGAGCTGTTCAGATGTATAAGGGATTATAATAGAGTGAGGGTCTCTTCCTAAATGCATTATAGACAATTTTCTTCCTTGCATAATCCTTTCTGCAACCAAAGAGGCATAAGGGGGGAGAGCCTTTTTCGGGGAATGCGAACCATGAATCCATGAGAGAACTCCCTGCTGATACAACACACCTGTAGGGGAAAAAGACGTGGGTATGATGATAAGAGACCATTGAGTGGAAAAATCACAATAATGAAGCTGTGCACTTTGAAGAGCCTTATTAACCAGTTCAAGAGCTTTGGGAGCTTCTGCCATCTTTTGGCGGGGTGAACTTGGGTCAGAATCTCCAGCTAATAAGGAAAACAATGGGTGGAGGTCTTGAGTAGTTAACTTTAGAGATGGCCGGATCCAATTAATTTCGCCTGAGTTTTTGAAAATCATGTAACGTACGCAAGTGAGAAGTATTAACAGACAATCGTTGAGGAGAAAAATGCTGTGGATATAAGTGAAAACCTAGATAAGAAAAAGGAGGTGAAGTTTGGACCTTCTCAGGTGCAATGACCAGCCCATTATTTGTTAAATCCTGATGAAGAGAGGCATATACTTGCAAAAGCATCTCAGAATCTTGATGGGCTATTAAAATATCATCCATATAATGAATACTGGTGGCAGAGGCAAATTTAGATCTGGTATTGGCAATGGCTGCATGTACAAACTTTTGACACAAGGTGGGGCTCGAACCCACGACCCTGAGATTAAGAGTCTCATGCTCTACCGACTGAGCTAGCTGGGCTGGTTGTAACAGGGTGGCTCAGAGAGTGGTGGCAGAGCAGAGGGCGGGGGGGGGGGTAATAAGGAGGATGCCACATTCTCTGAAGATTTGGTTTTTCTTATAAAACTTTCTCGAGTTTTTTTTTCCCATTTACTAGACTCATAGTCCCCTTTTAAACAGTCCTTAATAAGAGTCCAAATTGGAAACACATCCACAGGAACCTTCTCAGGACCCCAAGCACAATAATAATCTTTAATCTTTTCTCCTACTGTTTTCCAAGTCTCAACATTAACCGTTCCCTGTTCGGGAAACCAGGGGCAAACCTGATGCACAAAATCAACAAACCGATGAATTTGAAGCTTAGCTACAGGAATGCCCCTACTCTTTTACAAAGAGGAAATAACTTGTTCAAAAAGTTCCCGTTCTGATGACGGGGAGTTACCCATTCTCAATCCCTGCGTATATGCCACTCCCTGCTACTTTCACTTTTCACTTACCCGGGTCCTCTGTGGCAGTGGTCTTCTCGCAACTCCCGATTCTCCTTCCACTGGAAAAACGCTCCGAATGCTTATATTCCAAGCCCCAAGTTTGGGCGCCAGGTGCCAGGTGCCGCGGCCAGCTGCGGGGAAGGAGTCAGGCGAGAGACTGAAGACACAGGTAGACCAGTTGCTCAGGAGGCAAAAGGCAATTTATTGAAGGACTACAGAGTTTTTATAATGTTTCAAAACAAAGAGCAGTACAAGTCACTTCAGGACACTTTCTTGTGCACACAGCAAAGGTAAACATGCTCCTGGGCCGATGAGAAACTTATATGTTGTGCAGCCCAGGAGGTAAACATGTTCTTGGGCCCATGAGAAACTTCTATTTTTTATGTTATGAAGTTATTCCCATGTTAATATCAGCGCGATGCTTTGTCTAGAAGGCTGAGGTTACTGCAGGACCCCTGGCTCCGGCTCCCAACAGTGGTCCAGGGATTTAGCTTAAGCGCCTGGCTGGCAAGCTAGAGGTCCTGCATTCCATCCAAGATCTGGCTACCACAAACTGTGCTGCTATAAACATGGTGCACATATATCACTGTGGTATGATGATTTTTATTCTTCTGGGTAAATACCCAGAAGGAGAATAGCTGCGTTGAGTGGGCCTGTAGACCTAGTTTATGTGAAATCTCCACACTGATTTCCACAGTGGTTGCTTTACCACCAACAGTGGAGAAGGGTTCCTTTTCCCCCCACAACCCCTCCAGCATTCGTTATTGTTTGATTTCTTGACAGTAGGCATGTTTTCTGGGGCAAGGTGACATATCAGTGTTATTTAATTTGCAATTGTAAAATGATAATTTATGCAGAACAATTTGTCACATATTTATTTGCTGTTTCTATTTCTTCATCTGAGAACTGTGTATTTCACCTCAGATGCACATTTTTGGATTGGGTCTTTAAATCTGGGAAAACTGATTTTTTTTTAGTTTTCCATACTCTATTATAGTAACACTTTGTCTGAGGATCAGTTGGCAAACATTTTCTCCCACGTTGTGGGTTGTCTCTTCAGTCTGTTAGTGATTTCTCTTGCTGTTAAAAAGTTTTTCAGTAGGGTGAGATTCTCACTTAATTCTCTTTGATTTTTGCTGTGCAATCCATGCTTTCTTCATAAAGTCTTTGCTTACATCAATCTCTTCAAGAATTTTACTTACTCTATCTTGCAGCAGATTTAATGTTTCTGTTTTAATATAAGATCTTTGATCTATTCTGATCTTAGCTTAATACACGTTGAAAGATAATATTCAGAACCTATAGAGCCAGTTTTTCCAGCACCATTTATTAAAGAGGCTGCTTTTCTTCCAATGACTCTGTTTGGCACCTTTGTCAAAGATAAGATGGTTTAGTGGTCTGGGGTTGTTTCTCCATCTTCTAATTTGTTTCTTTGATCTTTCTGTCTGGTTTTGTTTGTTTTGTTGTCAGTACCACACCTTTTTTAAAAATCACAATACCTTTATAGTATAATTTCAAGTCAGGTATTTTGATGAACCCTATCTTTTCTTTGTTGCCCAGGATCATCTTTGCCACTCTAGGTCTTTTCTGGTTCCAGATGAATTTTAGGATTTATTTTGTGTAATTCTTTGAGATATGCTACTGGGTTTTGATTGGGATTGCACTAAATCTGTACAATAGCTTTGGAAGTATGGTCATTTTCACTATATTGAATTTCCCTACCCAAGACTATGGAATAGCTCTTCATTTTAGAATATCATCTTCAATCTCCTTGTTGAGAGTACTGTAGTTTACAGTGTAGAGGTCATTTACATCCTTTGTTAGATTGATTCCTAAGTAATTCATTTTGTTGCATGCTATTGTAAAAGTAATTGTTTCCTTGATTTCTCTTTCCATGAGTTTTTTATTCTTGTTTATGAAGTCTATTGATAGTTGAGTGTTGCCTTTGTAACCAGCTATATTACTGAATTTGCTTCTTAAACTAGAAGTCTTTTGGTGGAATTTTTAGGGTCTTCTAAGTAGAGTATCATGTCTTCTGCAAATAATGATAGTTTAAGATTTTCCTTTACTATCTTTATACCTTTTATTTCTTTCTCTTGTCTAATTGCTCCAGCTAGTTTCCAGGACTATATTGAGTAAGAGTGGAGAGAGTAGGCATCCTTGTTTTGTACCTGATTTTAGACCGAAAGCTTTCAGTTTTTGTCCACTTAGTATGAGGTTGACTGTTGGTTTTTAATAAAAGGCTTTTATCAGATTGAGATAAAGATCATCTCTCCCAATTTTTATAGGTTTTTTATTATGAATAGGTGATGGACTTTGGCAAAATCTTTTTCTGCATCTATTGAAAAGATCAAATGATTTTTGCTTTTGGATTTGTCAATACAGTGTATTATATGTATGTTGAAACACCCCTGCACCCCAGGGAATAATTCCACTTAATCATGTTGTAAAATCTTCTTAATGATATCCTGCAGTCTGTTTGCCAGTATCTTATTGAGGATTTTTGCTTCAATGTTCACTAGGCAGAATGGTCTGTAATTCTCTTTCTTATTTGGATTGTTCTCTGGTTTTGGTATCAGGGTAATGCCTGCTTCCAGGAATGAATTGAGTAGTATCATTTCCCATTTGATTTCATTAAATTTTGAGAAGTGGTGGTGTTAGGTCTTCTCTAAATTTCTTATTTATCCCTGCCATTTCATGGCTACCCCTGATTTAATTCGAGGATCAGTGGACTCTTTCCATAATGGGCTGCAAATGTTTTCAGGATTCAAGTTCAATCCTCCAGGAATAAAAAATCCCCTGATGTCAGAAAATATTCTCAGAACAGGCCAGGGCAGGAGACAACAGCACACAGTCAGAAGTCTGTGTTAGAGGCAGCAGACTTTATTTTAATGATTTTCACTGATTTCTATTAATTTTCCACCTAGAAACCCAGTATGTGAACACAAAAGGAGCATAGTTACTGTGTAAAGTGAAGGCTTCACATTTAAATGATAGTAATGGTCTGCAACAGAGTAAGGATGAAATAAAAGCAAGCATCAGTTCTCCAAGACAAGCTTGCTACTCATTCAGACTCATAAAAATGCTGAATTCTGAAAGTCATCATATTGCCAAGCATGGGGGTGACAATTATTGCTGAAATGGAACAAAATTCCTAATCCAATTGAACATTTCCTTCTGATGAGACAGGGATACCCGAGGACTTCACACGCTAAGTTCCCCTTGCCATATAGTTCCCTTGTCACTAATCGGCACTCAGCTGTTCAGGATTTTAACATTCCTAGAAGTCGTATATTTCCTAAACCCAGTGATCCATTTTTTAACACCCTTTTGGCTTCAGAAATGTGTAGGATATTACTATGATTGCTTCTATATGTATACACTGCAGCCATATGTGTTGGGACTCATGAACCAAATCTGATCCCTGGATCCTTCCTCTCAGGTTCTGAAACTGTTCTCTGCCTCCTTGACCTCATAAAAAAAGATGCCTTTTCCTTTTCACTTTTTTCCAAGATATTTATGCTTTGGAAACAGTCAAAACCAAACTTCCCTCATGGAAACAATGAGATAAAGAATATATTTATTTTAAATTCTGTAAGTCAGGTATTTTGTACCTGTATAAAAGTAAAGAAATAAATATCTAATATAATTCAGCTAGCTGTATGTTCTGAATAATCTTCCAAATGCATCAACTCATTCTTCAACTAATTATGTAAATGAGTTTTTAATCTATGAAAACCCTAACAGTTTTTTAGCTTTTACCTGTTTCTGTTTGACTCCAACAATTCTTTGGAGATCAAAACCACATAATTTCCTGTACAATCTATTCTCTTTCAAGCAGGCATAACTGGCATCTGGTGAAGAATTCATGGTTAAAACAAATGAACTGCTAGAAACTCCGAGACTCATGTTACATAGTACTCAGCAAGTTGATGGAGGCCTCCTTTATTATCTACCAATTTCACGTATAAGTACTGACTTAGAAAAGTTATGCAGAATACTCACAATGATGTAAAGAGGTGTATAATCATGATTTCTGAGAAATCACTATAATACCCCTCAATATGTTAATAAGGTAGCATATGTTGATAACATAGCAATATATTTGTTGATAATAACACTTCCATCTACAGGTAAATAAAATTTACATGCAACAAAATTTTCAGGAAACTTACAGTTATCCTATCTGAAAGTTAATTTTCTGTTTGGGCCTATGCCTAAATATCTAGCCCCGAAAAAGTGCACAGCAAAGGACCAAAAGAATCAGAAAAGTGGCATTGTCTTGAGGGCAACAGGAAGAGTGAAATCTTCTTCAGAATTCATAAATCTGCTAACCAGCCAGCCACCTGTCACTAGGCAGCCTATATTTAATCAGAACAAGCAAGGAAGTGAGTGGACAATGGTAAAAACCTGAGCAGGCCCCTTGTCAGAGGTTCAAGGAACCCACAGAGCAACAGATGATTCTAATTAAGAAAAAAAAAAAAACCCGGAAGTCTCCAGGTGGCCTCAGCTGTAGCCTATCTTGTTCCTTAAGGTGTCTCCTCATTATCAATTCAATCACGCCCAGGCCACATCACAGCCCTGCACATGTATTCATCTTCAACCCTTTCCAACATCTCTCTCTTTTTTTGTTTTGTTGACTCCCAGGATGGGTAGCCAGCTTAAAGTGGGGAAGCATTGAGGAGAACTCCAATTTAAACTCATTATAGTCCATCAGTTCATAACAGTAGTCATTTACCAGTATAGCCAGCAATTGTCAGAGGATGTTAGTGATCCTAGATTCCCCCACAGTCAAGCTTTTACATCTTCAGAGGACAGGCTTTTCTGAAGGACATCCAAGGCCAAGCTAACATGAGACCTGCATTAACTACTGTCTTAGTTATTTTTTACTTGTTTCTGAGACAAAATACCTGAAGCCCAAGTTGAGAAAGGAAAGGTTTATTTCTTTGGTTTTTGGAGGTTTCAGTCCACACTCAGCTGGCTCCAAGGCAGGTGTGCATGGCTGGGCCGCAGTTCATGGCAGCTGCAAACAACAAGCAGGAACCAGCAAAAAGCAAGACACACTTTCTTCCTGCCATTATATTACACCCTGGCTCCACCCCTATGTGAGTGTAGCACTAACACAATCAATCCACGTACTACACAATGAACCATCACAAATGCACAATGCAAACTCATGAAGCCTGGGGGACACAGGCATAAATGATGACATTCCACCCCTGGCCCCCAGGACTCATGTACATCCATTATACAAAAGACATTTAGTCCACTTCCAAGAGCTGCCAACGTCCTATGTTTCAGCATGGCTGAACAGTCCAATTGCCAGTGTCCTCCAAGATCTAAGGCAAACTCTTAACTGTAACCTCTGTACAAATGAAACAAGTTTAAACATTTCTCAAATGCAAAGGCACAAAGTAAACATTACCATTCCAAAAGTTACAAGAAGGGGAATATAAAACATTGGAAACAAAAGAAGTCCAGCAGGGTGAACATTAAGTCCTAGAATTCCATGTTCAACATCAGAAGCAATCTGGTTGCAAACTCCAAAAGGCTTGGGTAATTCCACCCCCATGGCACTCCAGCAATTTAACTCCTACAGCTTTTCTCTTAAATCTTCTCTTCTCTCTTTTTGCAGCTTCCCTTGAATCATCCACATTCCTGCCTTTTCCAAACTTCTGCAGTCTCCACCACACCTTTGGCTTCACCCTTATGTCTTCACAAATTGCCCTCTCAGGGGCACACTTTTTGGCCTCCCATGCAATTTGCAAGTGAGGTGGATGCCATCTTGCCTCAGAATTTGTGCATTTCCCTTGCACCTAAAATCAGCACCTTGTGGATGCCACCAAGGTTTGCTGCTGACTGGAGCAGTACCTAGGCTTTTCTGTCTTTTGGGTATAGGGGTCAGTTGAGTGGATTGCAGGGCTCTGTTTACCTGTTGTCAGAAAAAGCTTCTCTAAGTTGCCACCATTCTGGAACCTCAAATGGCCTCTGTCGCCTTTCTGGAACATGGCACTCTGCAGCTTTTCCCTCTGAGCAAATTCTTTCACTTTTGCAGTGAGGCTGCACAGGGTGGGGACCCCCTTCTTATGATGCCCCGGGGCCATCTTTCTTATCTCGTTTCTCCTCAGGAATCAAAATCTCAACTCTGTCTTTGCAATGCACAGTCTTCCTGGAATTTTCCTTCTGGCCAAACTTCCAGCATTGTACACTATCCTGCTGACCTCTTTGCTTTTGATATGCCACATAAATCTGGCTAAAAGCCCCCAACAATAGCCATACCACAGCTTCAAGGTTTGATTGCTTTTTAATTTCTTTTTCAAGATTAATCAGTCCATTGTCCTTTATCTCAGCCTTAGCCAAGGCTCTGGGCAAGAGCAAACCTTGAGGTTTGCAGACAAACCTTCTGCCAAGCCATAACACACATCATGTGGAGTCCAACAACCAATACAGTCCTTCTTCCCAACAAAAACCTCCCAAGCCTGGTCTTTACCATCAGGCCCTCTACGAGCCTTCTGGTCTCCAGAGCTCTGACCAGAATTCCCTCTGCAGAACAGCCTAAGCTGCTCCAACTCTACCCATCCAGGCGACATGTCCAAACTTTTCCAAACTCTGCCCACAAGCCATTTCCAAAGCCTCTCGAAAAACATGGTCAAGTATAGTCACAGCAAATGACCCCACTCCCAGGTACCAAATTGTCTTAATTACTTTTTACTTATTGCTGAGATAAAATACGTGAAACCCAATTTGAGAAAGGAAAGGTTTATTTCTTACAGTTTTTGCAGGTTTCAGTTCACACTCAGTTGGCTCCAAGGCAGGCAGGTATGACTGGGCCACAGTTCATGGAGGCTGCAAAGAGCAAGCAGGAACCAGCAAAAAGCAAGACACACCTTCTTCCTGCCATTGAATTACATCCTGGCTCCACCCCAATGTGGGTTTAGCACTGACACCATCAATCCAAGTACTAGACAATGAACCATGACAAATGCACAATGCAAACGTATGAGGCCTGCAGGACACAAGCATAAACCATGACAACTGCAGTCAGTTATTTACCTCCTATCAAGGTCACTTGGGTCTTCTCAGGAGTTATCTTAGAACCATGCATAACACCTCATGGCTCTTCTGTCAGTGTCAGCCACTTAGAAGAGTCACAGTCATTGCTTGACCACATTGCTCTCTGTGAAAGCTTGGGAGATTTTTCTCCTAGTGACTCTTCTTAGGCACACCTTGCATTGAAGGTGACTTTCCTCTGTGGTCTCACATCTTCTTGATGAGACAACCAGGGACTCACTGAATATCTTAGGATGATGCAATCAGAGGTTATTTTATATCCTGGGTCTCCACCACCCTTGAAGGCCTGGGGCCAAAATATTGGCTATCCATTTAGCCCATCTCTTTCTCTAAGTTTTGGCTTCTGAACCTTAGTTGTCAAACATCCAAAAGAAGTTTTTGGTAACAATAGAGTATAGTAGAGGCAGTAAGCTTAACATTACTATTTTATCTAAACATGAAACAACTTAGTACATTAAATGAATCCTATTTTCTTCTATCCATGGACATTTTAGCATTTGAATACCTACAGTATTAACAGTTGCATATTTTACATAATATATCAGGAATCAGAATCATACATAGTATTGCATCATGACAATCATGAGATTCTTTTAATAATCTAAATTCCTGTTTTGACATAAAATATCCCTTTTAGTCAATCACCCTTATCTAATACACAAGAAGTTTTTTGTGTATTATTGAACAACGTATTGATCTTTAGTTGAATGTGAATCTCACAAGTCTTTGTTATCAGCAAAGGTTTGCACATGAGACAAAAATCTGTTACCATAAGTAATCCCCACTTTACAATCATGGAGTCTTACGCATCCAGAATTACCAATATATGCAATACATCATATAGTTGATTACAATCAACTGTCATAACCATGTGAAACCTTTATATAGGCATCATCAAACCAAAAATATGTATTATTTCCCTTGATAATGACCAATGTGAACATTTAGGAATACATTTCATAAATTTGTTTGAGGTGTCTCCTATAATGCTCTGGAGATCATTGAGGTCTCTAATCAATGGACAAAAACTGGTTAAAAATGTTACCAGACAGCTGCTTTCTTATTTATCAATCAGAGATTGGTCCCTCAGTCTCACTGCTAAGTGACTTTGTTTATTTATCTTTGTAAATTTATTTTTATTTAAAGAAAGACAAAACAAAACAGAAAGCAGGCATAAATAGTACATACATTCAAAGAAAAGAATAAACAGTAATAAATCACTAGTTTGTGTTTACATATTGTCCTCTTACAAATAATTGTTCAAGATACAAAAGTGGAACATATAAATGGGAATTCAAACAGGGAGACTGCACATAGTTCTGTTCAACTATCTATTAAAACTAAGTAATATGGCAATCAATTCTATACACTTAAACATGTATGTATTTATCCATATCTTCATTTCTGTTGAGTTTAAACAAACCAAAGCAGATTAAAATCACTCTAATTGAAGATTAATTTTATTGCTTGATTTCACATCATAACACTATGGAATCAGCACTGGGTACTGTAGTCCCTTTTTTTCTCCTTCAAAGTACTTATTCATTTCATCATGTGTCATAAGTTCTTGTAAATTGTTGATAGGTTTTATGGAAGCATGCAACTTAACATGTGTTACTATCCTTCCTATATTAGAGGGAGAAATGGAACAAATAAGGACAGAGCAAAACATAATCCTAGAGATACATAAAACTAAAAAGACATATAAAACTGCTGTACAAGGAAGGTGTGGTTACTGTGTTGTCTCTTGTTATCATCAATAAAAATGGCTATATCATCAGATGAAGTATAATTGAATATATCAGTGCATAACAGTATTAACAGATATAGAACTTTATAGATAGTGTAGAGCTACAAAAACAGATATTAATCAAGTCAGAATTGGTATTATAATGAATAATTGCTATTTTCAGTATAGTTGTCTACACTCTGACAATACTACCAAACTAACAGTTTTGAATACAATAGGAAATAACAAGCAGCAATCAAACAAATCAGATTTAACTAAAATCAGTAATGTTATAACAGTATAAGTTATAGAGGGATCCGGTTTAAGTTAACAGGAAATTAAAGATGATTACTGTGCTATATCCTGATATTTTTGGGATAGCTGTCTGTGCCCTCATACCTAGTGCTTGTATAAAAACTGGGAAGGAATAAGTTCTATCTAAGCAGAGTGATACAAGTAATATGGGTTTAAATTCCTGATACACTTATAGCAATATCTTCTTCTGTCTTTTTAAAGACTGTTCTTCCCCTTTCACTCCCGTAGGGTGTACTGTGTATTTTTGGGTCTCCCCAACACCATTGGTTTTATATTGTGGAGGGCAACCTGTTATTTATCTAAGTGTTTCTGAACTTTCTCACTCCTGGACTTGATCTCTATTTGTATTTTTTTACTTATTAAAGCCTGTCTTTCCAACCTACCCATAAATATTGGTCCAGTTGCCCCTATTACTCTCTCATTCCGTATCACATCGAGTTCTATTTTATCATATTCAATTTTGGTCCAAATACCCTTCCTCAGGTCAATTATATTTCCTATAAAGATCATCTCGGTTGGCCCTATTTTTTGATCCACTCTGCCTGTGATTCTCTCTTTTTTCCCCCTTAATTTAGTGTATATAGAACATCTGCATTAGAAATTAAATCCAACCTTCTCTGTCTCATTTCTGCTCTTCTCTTTTTATGTCATCAGTTGTCTATTTGTCTTCTTCACTTTGAATTTTGCTTCATTCATTGTGGCCTCTCTACCACTGTTCCTGAAATCCTGGTGATTTCTTTCTCTTTTGAATGTCCTATATTATTCTCTGTAGGGCTGGATTGGTGGTTCTTAATTTTCCCAGTTCGTCTTTATCTTGGAAGCATCATGTTTCTCCATTAATTTCTAGGAAAATGTTTCAGGATACATCAATCTGGGCCATAGGTTTTTTTCTATCACAACTTGGAATGATTCACTCCATTTTCTTCTCGATTTGATGGTTTGTGCCGAGAACTCTGATATAATTCTGATGGACTTTCCCTTATAAATGATCTATTTCTTTTCTCTGACAGCTTATAATATTCTGTTCTTATATTGGATTTCTGGGATCTTGATTATTATATGCCTATGTGTAGTTCTGATTGGTTTAGGTGGCTGGAGTTCTGTATGCCTCATACACTTGAGTATCTTTTCCTTTTCCTAAGCTTGGGATGTTTTCCTTATTTTTGTGAATAGCCTTTATAGTTCCTTTGTTTGTACTCCTGCTTCTTAATTCACATTCATTATTCTTAAGTTATACATCCATTTGTCATCATCTAGCCTTTGTATTGTTACTACTTGTTTCCTTGTTATTTTTAAGAAATTTTTCCTTTCATGATCCCACAGTGCAAACCTGTCCTCTAGTTTGGATAATCTATCCTTAGTTTCTTGCAATCAATTTTGCCAGCTTTCAAAGGAGTTTTTAAATTCATGGTTGTCTCTTTGAACCAGCTTACTTTCTTCTATCTTTTCTCTATTTTCCTATGAAACAATTCTCCCATTTTTTGTTTTCTTCCCCTTTTCCATGTTTTTTCTTGAGAGGTGCTTAGCATTTCTTAAATTATTCTATTTGTATCTTGCTTCACTCGGTTTATTACTTCACCTTTCAAATTATCTATGCATTCCTGAAGATACTGCTTTATGTCTACTGGGGCCATGTCTGATATTGCATGTTTGCTGTCCTCATTCTCTGCATTTACCTTTCCTGGATCCATGTTCTCATGATTGGGGAATGGGAACCCTTTCTTGTTTGTTCCTCTTATTATTTTTTGTTCCTTCCATACAGGTGTATATGGGAGGTTCAGGTTCTTTCTTTGTTGGTTACAGTTTGTCTGAAGTGCTGATTGTATGTTCCCACCAAGTGCAGTGTACTATGTAGATACAGACCAGGGAAGCCTATGGTGGCCAGCCCCTCTGGATTAATCAGACTGCTGAAGGCTTCACTGCATTAAGTTGAACTTACAGGCATCAGGACTGGTATGGGCTAGCCTATTAGTCTCAGCCTTAGGCATGACATAGGTCAGGTGTTCCCCATCAATCCCACTTGAGAAGGGAGAAGCTGACTGAAGTCACTTCAGCCCCTTGTTCTGGCCAATTTGCCCTGTCCCAGAATGTCTTCTCTTGGAGCTCTATGGAAAGGGTTCATTCCCATCACTCACCATAGGTCAACGCAGGGTTCCCTGCTGTTGGGAGCAGGAACCAGGGGTTCGGCAGTGAACGGTTATGGAAAACCACACACTGAAGCTGGACCTCAGCCAGTTCCTCATCCTGCAGTAACCTCAGCCTTCTAGGCAAAGCATCATGCTGATATTAACCTGGGAATAGCATAAAAAAGAAGTTTCTCAGGGACCCAGGAACTTGTTTGCCTCCTGGGTTGCACAACATAGAAGTTTCTCACGGGCCCAAGAACATGTTTACCTTTGATGTATGCACAAGAAAGTGTCCTGAAGTGACTTGTACTGCTCTTTGTTTGAAACATTATAAAAACTCTGGAGCCCTTCAATAAATCGCCTTTTGCCTCCTGAGCAACTGGGCTCCATGTGTCTTCAGTCTCTTGCCTGACTCCTTCCCCATGCTGGCCACAGCACCTAGCACCGTGCCAGCTCAGCTGTCAGTTAAGAGCACTGACTCCCATCTTCAGTGTAAATGCATCTCCAGTGACATGAAACTGACGAGCTTTTGTGTAGTTCCATAAATCTTTGCTGCATGAGATCAAGTGTAGGAGTGGTAGCAAGTTCAAGTGGCAGCACTGAGACTGTAGTTGTTT